ACAATATATGATCATACTTGTACAGTATAGGATAATACTATACAGTATATATTTTTACTTGCACAGTATATGTTCATACTTGTACAGTATTGAATTATACTTGTACAGTATATAATCATACTTGTACAGTATAGGATTAAATTTTTATTGTTGAATAAGGTTCATGATAATTATAAGTCTGTTAATATGATAACTAGTTTTGACTTGATTTTACTAGATATATTATTACAAACAAACAAATACTTTATTTGCCAATCACGGCGCCCAAAATGAGCCGAATATTTACAATATAATTTTCAAACATAATATAAAAGTAAAATAAAAATAAATAGAACAAAATATAACATGATTAGTATTGATTTAAGGATGTTCGCTCCTCTTACTTTTGATTTTTTTGTCAAATATTCGGAATCCTCTGGTTTTATCCATGTAGTGCCAATAAATTTTTTGACCGCTAACCCTTACTTCTCTTTTCATAGTTTTATTTCATATAGCCATATTTGAAAATCTTATAAAATCCTTGTTATTTTATCATAGATTTTGAAAGAAAAACGGTGCCAATATCAAATGTATAAAAAAATCTAGAGAGAATCATTTCCCGCCAATTTTTCAATCATTATGGCTTATATCTCGAAAACAAGGTCGCGGACCCTTCATCCTATCTGCTTTTTTAGTTCCATTGTTTATATACTTTCAATTTATATCAGTCTTTTAAAAACCTTGTTATTTTGAAACAGAGTAGTGAACATCCTTAATCGATTATCATCTAATATCAAAGTAAATTGGAATGGACTGAATATCTAGCCACATTTGTACATACCTGTCTCACCTCATGAGCCAATTATTGTCATTGGTCGTTGTCTTTCATAATTATTTTTAGTTACTGTAACTGTTGTAGTAAAAATCCGACCATTTTTCTCTTTTAAATAGTGGCACAGTTTGTAATCCCGGGACTTTTTCGGTTAACTATGCAGTAATTGGTTTTGCACATTGTTAAAGGCCGTAAGGTGGTCTTTTATTGTTCACATCTCTACCATTATATCTTTATGGATACATATGTAATTGTCTTATTGACAATCATACTACATCTCCTTACCTTTATATGAACTACACAAACGTATGTCCGTCAATTACCAGCTTTTTTAAATGATCAATACGAGGTTGCCGAACTTGCCAGTATATGGTGACTTTTAACATGTAGTTTGAACTTTATTTAATTTCATTGTACATTTCCCAAACTTTTTCAGATATTAACCAAAATTCAGATATATAATCTTGGTTGTTTAAGATTTCTTTTTTTATTTTACTATTTACTGTTGGGTTTGGGAGGAGAACACTATTCATTTTTGTTTATCTAAATGTGCATGAAATACAATATTTAAAACAGATTACGCATACTTTTGTAACTCTGACATTTAGTAGGACTGAAAAAAACGAAAAAGCTATTTTTGATTATATTTTAACGGTTTTTCATTGGATTTTTATATGTTTGGGAGCGTTTTCTGAGTTTTTATTTCAAACTAATCAAATTCATATCAAAGTCATGTTGTTTTATTGCGACGTAATAATTTCTTGGCTTTGCAATCCTCATTAAATCATCTGGCACATCTGAACCCGTACGCGTCAACATATAAAGCGAAAACAACTTCATCATATAAAATAAACAAACCATGATTTGTTGTGTTGTTATTGTAACCCCAACCCAATATAATTTACTTAAGCAATTTTTATGAGCACACCATATCGAAAAAATATCATATATCATCTTGTATCTTTCATTTGTAAGCGCGAATTTTATCTTGCAGCTCAGAATGAAAAGAAAGGCAACAAACAATAAGAACAAATTGATGAAACGAGAATGTCGATTATATTGCAAGTAACAGCTTATGATGGTTACTTCATGTACGGTCTTGTAAATAAATGTTGTCCTTCAGTTGAAAAGTCACTTGAACTTCCGGTTTGATCGGGAAATAAAGTATGCATGACCTTTAAGCGCACATGTATATTAAGTAAAGTAGATGTTTGGGAATTGCCAGTGATCTTGAGGCACAACACTGAGAGAGAGAGAGAGAGAGAGAGAGAGAGAGAGAGAGAGAGAGAGAGAAAGAAAGAAAGAAATACATGCAATTAGTAATCTTTATAGGTACTTAAGTTAATATACTGAAAATTCTACCCTAGAGTGATATCAAAGCACATAAAAAAGACAGATTATCAGAAATGTAGATTACGTAATTATAGACAAAGTCAATTCAAAACTAACAATACTATGCATAGGCTAAAAAAAGCCTAAAATAGTTGAAATCTTTGAATTTTGAATTCCAGCTATGAACACTTGTCTTTCAGTGTTCAACCCGTCATCCTATGATATTTTTCTATAACATTAATAATTTTGTTTTCGATATTGTCCTCTAGAGATCGGATCGGTTGTTGTATCGCTGGTTCACTTACATTTTCAACGCAATTGTTTTTATTCGTATGTGTTAAATATATACTACTTAATCCTGTCCTAAGTCAGGAGCATGTAATTCAATGGAATATTTCTGTAAATTCGATTACCTATATGTTCAAACGAAATTTTAAAAAAGAACTTGTCGTTGGTTGCTGTTTGTCTTATTTATTTATATTTTTGTCATAATATCCTACATTTACGATCCTTATGACATGTATGAATTCAAATATGTCAATCAAAAATAAATTACAATACCATTTCCTAAAATATAATTTACTTCAAAGGAAGAATAAGGATTTCAAAAATCTTACTTTCATTGTCTCAATGGAATATGACTAAGCTCAGCCTGGAAGATATTCAAATTCGCTTCAAATCGATGGACTTTTTTTTCTAATGAATTTTTCTAACATCAAGCTAAAACATCGCATCATGATTGTTTAATGCACACAGGAACTGAAATAATTGACATATAAGCTTGATGTTCTAGGTGGGAAATAGTTAAGTTCTAATGGAATTGTCTAGCAAGAAAATGACTTTTTAGTAGTATCTGAGAGTATTATTATTATGTTACTTACTGGCAGAAATGTTTATACTTTTCCATTAAACATTAAGATTCGATTAAGGGTTTTTTTCACAAGCCGTTTCTGTGAACAGATCCCTCACAATTTTCAAAAAAAAGTAATAACGATTTGTTTTTAACAAATAAATACAGTCGAAGTAAACAAACATGAATACTGATATAAACACAAGCATTATACTTAAATTGTTCTTGGTACAAATGTACTCATTCAGCTTATATCGTTATCAAATGCTTTCACTTTATTTAAATATCATTTAACGAATCTTTAAATAATAAATCATATATATATATATATATATATTTACTTTTGATGGTGATTGCCGTAGTAGCATACACTTATGCTAAATAAATATATTCTACGCACCATAAAAACGCAACTCATATAAACATAAAGAGATGTGATTGCTGTATAAAGAGACCAGAGACCCAATTGACGTTGTATAAGCAATGCCATTTGTTCATAACAAAACATAGCTTTATAATGATTGTCTTGTCTAATCTTTGTTTTGAAAAAAAAAAAAAACGTGTTTCAATTTCTAATTTTACATTCGGTCAAGATTTTTTAAGGTTAGAAAAACATGACCGGTGGTTTACGAACTTGGTGATGCATTAGTGTTAAATAAGAGTCAATTACAAATCGCTATTGCGTGATCATCGGATATAACTATTCAACAGTTACACGAAGGGTGTCACATGTGGAGCAGCTAGGATCTTCTAACCATCTTGGAGCAGATGAGACCACCCCTGGTTTTTGGTGGAGTTCGTTTTGCTTAGTCTTCAATTTTGTTGTTTTTGTGGACTTGTTTGTCTTGTCGTCATGTTGTTTTTGTGGACTTGTTTGTCTTGTCGTCATGTTATTTTTGTGGACTTGTTTGTCTTGTCGTCATGTTATTTTTGTGGACTTGTTTGTCTTGTCGTCATGTTATTTTTGTGGACTTGTTTGTCTTGTCGTCATGTTATTTTTGTGGACTTGTTTGTCTTGTCGTCATGTTATTTTTGTGGACTTGTTTGTCTTGTCGTCATGTTATTTTTGTGGACTTGTTTGTCTTTTCGTCATGTTATTTACATGTTTTATTAGTTTCTCTTTACCTTATGAGTTTTGCATGTCCTCTCGAAATCTTCTGCCTTCTTTTTATATATTTTCTAAAATTTGGAAATAAATAGATTGTGTTATAAAACTCCGCTTTACAAATTTCTATTATATTAAATATGGATTTTTGATAATTTTTCTTAATGTAGAGCCTTGTTGTTGAAATTAAAAATATTTTATTCACGACCGTTCACATCAATATAGTGTCGAGAACTCTCAATTTCGATATAGTTGCTTCTGAATAAATTTAAGCGTTGCATGAAGGAAGAAAATCTACTTGTGTTAATATTTTTACACAGCCCGGAACAGGATAAAATGCTTAGCGAGCTTAGCGAGTTTTGCGTTTCTTTCTTTTTCTAAGCCTCGCATAAGTAAATTTTACATTCCACCAAATTGTATGTTTAATCTTAATACAAGAATATTAATAAATTAATACTTGTAATCGAAAACAAAAATTAATCACCATCTGCGTCAGAAATCCTCTTAGATGAAAATCCCATACCCTCATTTAATAAGTTGTATATTACAAGAAATTAATAATCTCAATAACATCCGAATGTTTTATATTTCATAACATAAAATCCATGGTTACAGGATTTCTTAACAAATCCAATAACGGTTTAAAAAAGGCTGCACGCTTTTACCATTATTCTCTGAGGAGAACTCGTATTGATCTCGGATACGTATTATTAAAATACCCGTATAGAAATCTAAACCTTAATAGGATCTTGCATATTAAATTCTCAGCGTCTTGATTGTATCAATAATGGTATTCTATACTTCAGGTATACAATAATGGAAACCTATGCCCGTATTGGTTCAGTATATATAGTTGGTATATATTTTGTTGACATTAGATACCGATACTACGTTGGCTGACATCGACATAAAAATCCAATATAGTTCATCGTTTAAGAACGAACTGCAATCAGTAGGAAAAACAGTGACTAAAGGAACTTCTTTTGTATAGATATAATTTCTCTTTTAATAGTGAATTTATTAATTGTTTCCGTTTGTCAAAGGTTAATAAAAAAACTGTTGGAATTTTTCGTTGAGGATAGAATACGCTGTCGAGTAAAAATAGTAATTGATCAGTCAACTTGTCAAAATCATCAAGTTAATATAACTGTAAATTAATTACTTATCATTGACAATCTTATAATAATCGCTTTAAACTTAATCATCATTAGAAGAATAATAAGTGTCGTTTTATTCATTTTTTATTTATTATTCCGTAAAAGTGTCCTGACTTATAGTTATTCTTTTATTACTTATTTTCAGATGTGAAATGAATAATTTAAATTGGAATACAATTACACAGATTTAAATGGAGACGAAAATAAGGAATTACACCATCATTACTAAGTGAAATGTGAAATGTAAATTTCATAGGACCAGATGGCTTAAGATGTCGATTTGGATTACTTTGTCAATACATTACATCAAAACTGGTAAGTTGCATGTAACATACTTATTAAACTTTGATATATTTATTCCTTGTTCAGGCAAAATATCATCTGGAAACATTAGTGGACGGCTGCATATTTTGATCATAATAGCACACGATGATGATGATGATGATGATGATGATTACGAATGGTAAAAACGATAACCAAATTATATTTAGACTGATTTGATCAAGAAAAAGATCATTCAAGGTCCGATTCAAAGTTTAAAAGCTTATCTTTTTTACATTCGAAATTCAAATTTCAATATCTGAAATAACTACAGCCCATTAATCGATTTAACGTGGCTATATAGATATAAAAAGATTTGGTATGAGTGCCAATGAGACAACTCTCCATCCAAGTCAAAATTTCATTATAGCTCAACCACATCAACAAACGACAACTACTGAACATCAGATTCCTATGTTCTTTTGACATCCCTGGCTTTCATATATTTAGGTTTGAACATTCCTGGTGAAGTTACATCCAAAAATGCGCTTCGGACGCATGTAATTTATAAAGTTTTATTTTATGTATTGTCTTAAAAACCTATGCCGACAAATGACATAGCTTTTACCAAATTAAATTTCAGATCAATACTGTCGTTTTTTGGTAGCCCGCTTTATATGTTTCGGAATCAAATATATTTCAAACCTCTCCGTTACCTTAGACATGAGAGACGTATTATTTCTACTTATTGGTTTTTATTTGACGATATAAGTGAGTAATTGGAAAATTCAGTCTTAGAATTCATTGCTAACACTTAAATTAATAAAAGTCGATTTTAAGATGTTTTTTTTATATAATGCATCCCGCTTACTTTGATATGCTCATGACTAATGAACGTTCTTGACTATCATATGTGGCTCACTTTGGATGTCAATGTGCTCTATTATCCCATATTATCCATCAAATACACCAAAAGTTTATAATAATATGATTGAGATATTGTTGCTTACTTTTAAAAGTTTTTTTTCGGCGAACATCTTTACTGAAAGGGAACACTTTTTTTGTTATATAACAGGGGTCATTATTCTTACTGGTTCAAGTTTCTTTGATTCAGAAACTTTCACTTTCCTTTATCCTAAAACTGTAAGTTACATGCCTTTAGAGCGATTGCTGTTTAGAATCAAATGCATATTAGGTTAAAAGAAAAACTCACACCGTAAATTCAGACCAAATCTTAGTATTTCATGTTTCAACTGATATCCTTTAAATATTTTAAAAACAATTTTTTTCTTCTGTCTATCATTTTTTATGGCTTCTGTGTTTTAGTGTACTGTAAGAAGTTTAAAACTAAAATATTTGTAGCACAAACCATATTTGTACATTTTTTTAAATAGTTACGGTTTTGGCCATTTCCTGAATTGTAAGTGCATCAAACGCCATAACAACCATATATTTTACAATTTACTCCGTTAGAGCTTTTCACATTATTTTATAAAGAAAGCAAGAAACAACTATTTTGATTTTTAGATTTAAATGCTTTTATTTAGTTCGTAATTTATCTTGTATAGATTTGATTTGATTTTTGGTGTTTTAACGCCACTTTTAAGCACCGCTTTTGGGCTATTTCGTGGCGGCCAGTTTTTATTGGTGGAGGAAGCCGGAGTACCTGGAGAAAACCACCGACCTTCGATAGGAAAACTGACAATCCTAGTCAATTAAGATTGGAGTCGAGTGCACCCGAACGAGCGGGGTTCGAACTCACAACCTCAGTGTTGACTGGCTTATCTTGTATAGAGGAAACGCGCGCGTCTGGCGTACTAGATTTGACTATGGTATCTTCGAGGAGTATGTATCCATACTAGAGACGTTGGAAAAGGGGACTCTTGATATTAATATAATGAACGATTTTGACGAAACTATGATACATTTGGAAAAGGTAGATTTATTTTCCTTAAAAATAGTATAGATGTAGAGTTTTACTTTTAAATGACGTTTTAACATTAAAATATTTTTTTCTCTCCAAAACTGCCCTGTTAAGCTCTTTACTTTTAAATTGCACAGTAATAAGGAAAACAAAGTGTGCACATTATAAAATAAGGAGATATGGTATTGCCGTTAATTTAACCATTTCATGGGGAAAGGTTGAACACTCTTAATATTATTGTAGTTATTTTCCTTTTGGTGTTTAAAATGTTCTTGTAACGTTATATGAATGTATATTATACTGGAGTAAAATTTCCCGGCTCATCATACAATTTGATTAGTAACTGTGAACAATAACGAAAATCAGAATAAGTAATTGATGTTGAAATCAGGACACGTCAGTATAATTTATTTGTTAGACTTGCTTCCCATGGGAAAGAATTAGTTACATAGTGTGCTAGTGGCTTAAAACGATATATATAGGGTTAGTAAATTCCATATGGGGCGGGAGCCAGCGACTTATTACCTAATTTGTATTTGCCATGACCAACACAACGGGTGCCACTAGTGGAACAAGAACCGCTAAACCCAGTTCTGTTAAGATATATATATATAGCACACCTTTTACGAGTGTATGTGTATGTAATGCGTGGCTAAATGCATTATCCAATTACTTAACTTGATTTAGAAACGCAAACCATGAGTAAATACCATTCGTGATTGAATTTGCATTGATATACAGTTGAACGCTAATGGTTCTATATCATGTCGATATTTATTTTGCCATTGCACAATGCCATTCTTTTCTAGGATTGTTTAGACCTCTTTACATTAAATCCGGTTTGTGTACTGATTGATGTTTTTACAGCTGAGGACCACCTCCGGGTGCGGAATTATCTCGCTGCGTTGAAGACCCATTGGTGGCCTTAGGCTGTTGTTTGCTCTTTGGTCGGGTTGTTGCCTCTTTGACATACTCCCCATTTCCATGCTCAATTTAATTTTGTCGGTAATTTTGTTGTTTATTCTTTTGTTAGTTGGTTTTAAACTGCATACCTTTCTGAAGGGTCACACCCTTTCTAACTAATCTTTACCGTGTATTCTTATGATGAGATGCAACACCATTGTCCCATGAGGAGGTTAACATTGAGCGCTCGCAAAAATTTAAATCCTCCTCATTCTTTACGTGCCTGGCTCAAGTTAGGGGCCTGTAATTCAATGGTTGTCATTGGTTGATGTCTGTCATATTTGCTTTTGAATATTGTTTTAACATAAATCAGACTGTGGATTTCTCCTTTGAATTGTTTTCTCGTTTGTCATGACGGGGCATTTTATAGCTTACTATGCGGTGTTGGATTGCTCATTGCTGAAGGCCGTTCGATGACGTACAGTTTTTTTTATATCCTCTTCATTTGGTCTCTGGTGGGTAGGTGTCTCATTGACAATCAGGTCACATCTTCTTATCTATATATTGGGAAAAGAATAACAATCTTTAAGTTCATCGGACCCTTTTTCAAAAGAGGCGGTCTTCATACAAAGGTGACTGTTGCTGGCACTTTTAACAAGTACAGGCATGTGTGTCAACAAAAGATATTTGGTATTTTTTCATGGCTTTTTTTATATGGTTAAAAACAGATAAAAATAACACTTTATAAATTTCATAAATCCGTATCGCTTCTCTTGATTTACCTTCATCATGAACGATTAAACCCAAAACATTCGAAAACCAATGATGTAAAAGTACCGAAACAAGTAGAGAGCTATATATGACCTAAAAGGAACCTTAAAATAATAGTCAAATTATCCAGGGTTGAGTTAACCATTGTCTAATTATAATTTGTTGGCTCTAATAGTTACATTAATTATGAATTCGTTCAAGGCAGAATATTTAGTCTTCCTGGTTGACACTGTTAACATTTTGGAATTACAATTATCATTTTTTCTGAGAAAAATTAGATAAGTAGACAAATGAATAATTCTTTAATGACTTGTAAGTATATCCTATCGATTTTGTACCAAATACATAGCAACATGGAGGAATCAAAGATAAACTGATTCGGAAAATATTATTCCTAAACGTTAATGAAAATAAGATATATGGCTACAGTTTAATATTTAATCAATATTTTGCCGAAAGCATAGAATAATTCGGTGAAAATCTGCAATTTTGTGTCAGTGCAAACTGAGAAGGTTTATGGCAAGGTATACCTTTAAATAACCTAATTCTTTATAATAATATAAGCATTATCTTTACCATTTATTTTTAAACTCTAGATAAAGTTATAAAGTAGATATTAAACGACTTATTGACCTATTTTCAGACATTCGCACTGCAGTTCGACCACGACGGAATAGTATTATTTAGTCAAATTTAAATTAGAAAGAATTTCGTTTGAAATGAAGCCCAACAACAATCAACCAATCGTTTGTTCATTTCCACAAAACATCTATTTTTTCCATTTATTTAAAATCGGGTACGCCACAAAATATATATTCTTAAGCAGTATGTTTTCAGACATTCACACTGATGTGGAACTGTAATGGAATAGTATAATCTGTTCTATTTAGTCAAATCTTAATAAGATGTTCGTTTTAAACGAAACATCTCACCACTGGTTTGTTCATTGATAAAAAGATAATTGCTAATTTGATTTGTCCCTTTGACTTTCCATTTTATTGAATATTTGATAAAACATCATACCACAAGTATATGTAAAAATAGAAAGAAGGATACATAACAAATATAACACACTGTTAAATTAAAACAAAAAAGATGGTCATGAAGTATTTTAAATTTTTGTTCGTTAAAAGAATGAGGAGATGTAGTATTATTGCAAATGAGACAACTATCTCAAAGACCAACTGGGACATAGATGGGAACAAGTACTGGTCGCCGCACGACCTTCAATAATGATCAAAACTCATACCGCATGATATTTTATAAAAGGCCCGGAACGACAAATATATGAAACAATCTGAAAGAGTAAAAAAAACAGTCTGATTTTTACTACAACAATAACCAAAAATAATTACGACAAACAGCAACTAACAATAACCAATGAATTAAAGCTCGACCTGGCTTGGCACATACATAATGTGGCGGGTAACCATGTTTGTGAGTGCACACCCTTCCC